CACACAGTGATTCACAGCAGCAAAATGAATGTCTTTTTAATTTAGCCAGCTAAAGGAATTTCTCCAGGCTTAAGGCAAACAAAATTTTATCACATTTTTTTTTTTTTTAAAAGTGAGCAAATTTTCAAATGACCTTTCACTATTAAGACAAATGTAAAATAGCAAACAAATAGCATATCTTGAACCATTAAAATATACTAACTAGATAGTTTCTAGTCATTTTCACTTTCATAGTCTCAGCATATTAGCATAGTGTTGTGTTTGGGTTGGAAACATTGCAAGGGGATCTTTGTTTATTTTAACTAAGGCCCTGCCCCTGCCCAGAGAACTGTAGTGGCAGACCCAGAGCCTGCACTGACCCCCACTGAAACAATGGGGTTCTTGAAGTACCAAGGTCTGCTCATGCAGTTATCAATACAGGATAAGGGCCTGATGTTTCTTTTTTAAATTCATAAAAACATTTTTATTTATCTTGGGAAATTATTTTTACAAATAGTACATACAGGGTGAAATTTCAACAAGCAAAGAGAGTTCTGGACCCAAAGCAAATCAGGACACCTCATTCCACAAAAACAAATGAGGTAAGTGCACACAATTAAAAGAGCCAAGTAATGAAAAGAGCCAAGTAACAAAATATGCACTAAAACAAAGAACTTTGAATTGAAACAAAGAAGTTACTTCCTTTACTATGCAGTTTCCCAAATACCACTAGAAGTGAAGGCATTTCGGGTTACTGCTTGCAAAACCCAAAGCTGAGAAGCTCCAAGGAGAGGCTTGCAGAGTTTAAGGTCAACACTGCGTGCAGAGTCACATGATCTAAAACTGAAGCTATCTACGGAAAGACCCAATATAACTTCCACTGAAATCAATGGGAGTCTTTTCATTTACTTTAATAGAAACTGGATTGGACCCGAGGTCAGCAGCACTAGCTACTTCAAAGGTGGGAGACTCGGGAAAGGGAGGCAAGAGAAACAAGAAGTCCCCAAAAGGCAACACTAAATGCTCTGAGAAAACAAAGGTTCTATCTTGGAATATCTTTTTCTCCACCTTTATTAATAATCTGGTCATGGGTGGTTACAAACAACACAAATTTTTTGAAAACCAGTCCCCAACGTAAAAAAAAAAAGTTTTTTTGTTATGTGACTGTGAAGATGTACACAAGTAACTGTACAGATAAGGAAGGGTCTCAATCATACAAAAAAGAAAAAAAAAAGAAAAAAAAGGGGTAAAAGAAGGGGGACAAAAAAAAGTTCCTAATGTAAGCTCTTCATTTCAGTTTTAAAAGAAAAGGAGCAGAAGACAATTTCTAACCTGCTTTGTAAATTTCCATATTTAAAAACTAATTTTTTGTGCAGTTTTATAGATATTCACAAATTTGGCAGAAAGAAAATTTCTAAAAACACCTGGGGCAATGCTGACATCCAACACTGAAAATGGTTTTTCATTTGATGGAGATGAGGTCAGATGAGTGCTACATCCACAACAAAGTGTGCTCACTTGCCCTCTACTTCAAGCAAGCATAAACCTTGATTAACTCAACCAATGTAAACCAGCTTGCCCTTGTTGACTCTTAGGGTATGTCTACACAGGGAATAAAAAACCCTGGCTGGTCTGGGTCAGTTGCTTGGGCTCGCGGGCTGAAGAGCTGAAAAATCACTGTGTAAGATGTTCAGGCTTGAGCTGGAACCTGCGAGGATGGAGGGTGCCAGAGCCTGGGCTCCAGCCCGAGACTGAATGTCTACACTGCAATTTTTAAGCCCTGCAGCCTGAGCCCAAGTCAGCTGATCCAGGCCAGCCGCAGCCATGACACAGATCTTTTATCTCTGCACTGGTGATGTACCCTTAAGGGCCAGCACCAGTGCAGCTACACCAATTGCTGGCAACCAATTGCTGAATCAGGGCTATCCCTGAGACTAGATAAAGACAAAAGGAGAATCCTTTCACTTGTAAGGTGTATTATGCCTTAAATGCCGCGCCCCACCCCCAAGTAACATGTCAAAGAATCAACATTTCCACAATTCATTTATGGCAGAATACTACTTCCATGTCATTGATGGATTTCTGATTGCACCAGTAAAACAAAGATCATGTATACATTAAACTTCTAAAAAAATCCCACACCTGTCAATGGTACCCAGGAAACAGTTTTTAAACTAAATAGGGCTCCAGGGGGAAGATAATACCTTAAAGCAGAATTTGCAGTTGACCCCTCACTGGTGCAGAAATACAAAATATGGCATAGCTCAAACATTCTTCACACTTAACAAGTTATTATTTTCTTGTTTTACAGTCACTCAAACAAATCCAAAGTTTTGTTAACCACAAAAGCATATTGTAATGTCTATACAGGTCACAGTGTCTAAAAACAAACCAACATGTGGATAAGCAAAGTAGATTTTTCAACAGCAGCGATCACAAGATGAATGGAAGCTTAACTTTGCACAGTGGAATTACCCCCATAAGATTCTATAACTTAGGGTACGTCTACACTTATTTCCTGGTTCGGCGGCAGGCAATCGATCTTCTGGGATCGATCCCGGAAGTGCTCGCGGTTGATGCTGGTACTCCAGCTCGGCGAGAGGAGTACGCGGCATCGACAGGGGAGCCTGCCTGACGCATCTGGACCCGCGGTAAGTTCGGACTAAGGTACTTCGAATTCAGCTACGTTATTAACGTAGCTGAATTTGCGTACCTTAGTCCAAAGTGGGGGGTTATTGTGGACCAGGCCTTAGTATGATAACTTGAGTCATCATAGTATTCTAGCTTTGCAAACAGAGATGAATTTACAAACAATTGTTTCTATGGTGTGTTTTGCAGGGAAGTGGGAGCCATTGACGGTCTAAAATATGAAGAGATAATTAAGAAATATGGCCCAGCGTCAGCCTGAGTGGGGAAAAAAGGTAGCTATTTTACAGCCTTGCAGCCCAAGCCCAGTGAGCCTGAGTCAGCTGACCTGGGCCAGCCATAGGTGTTGAATTACTGTGTAGATGTACCATAAGCCTCCTACCAGGGTGTTGTCCCAGGATAATATGGCATTCAGTCCTTTGTATCAGCCTTTTAGAGGTGTCTAGTGAAATTTTCAAGCCCTGCTACAAAGAGTGTGAAGAGTTTGTATTGACTATTTATCTTCAAAGCAACGCCCATTATATCTCTGTTTGTGGGTGGATACCTCAAACAAGGTGAAAGATTTCAGCCCATCCAAAAAACAAATTTGCTGTTCCATTTCATTCTCCCTCCTTAAGCAAAGAACTAGATTGATCATCATCAAATATGTTCAAAAGTGACCCCGGATTCAAGACTGGGCATCTTTCAAAAAGACATGATTTAGCTCAACCAGAAGTTAGAGACTTAATGCAGGAATCACTTGGTGAAATCCTATGGCCTGTGTTCTGCAGGAGATCAGATTAGATTACCACAATGGTCCCGGTCACCCTTAAATAAAGTAAACTGTGGAGCATAAATTTTACCAGGTTTTGTTTTTTAACATGCTCTCTCTCTCACTCTCTAATTTATTGTTAATACATAACATGTCCATTTCAACAGACCTTAATTTGCAATCTTTCCTGTCATCAAAATCTACATACTGCTCTCACATTGATCTTTCTAATGCATGAACTGATGAGATACCAAATTACAGGACCTAAAAACATTAGAAGATGATGTCTGCTTGACTAGTGTACCCTACTAAAAAAAGTAGTCTACTGCCTCACTGCTGGCACTAGAGATTCTGAATCAAATCCAAGAGTCAATATAATCTAAATGTGAAGTGTCACCAAAAAAGTTAATTTTAATCAGTGGTACTGAAGCTAGCGGTACTGCCACACCCCCTGGCTTGAAGTAGTAATAACAAACACCAATACGTGGTTTCCATCAGCAGCATTCCCACTATAAAATTTGTTTCAGCACCCCTGGTTTTAATACTAGAGAGCTTTCTACCTTGTATGTTTCAGCAGAAGGTTTTAAGGAATTGGACAATATTTTTAGAAACTATGATGATAGCTGAACAACACAGACCAATGTAAAATAATCAATAAAAGTCATTTTAAAAATAACTGCGGCCACATACCTAGAGTATTGATTGTTCAACTATGCTGAAATGGTTGTTCTAATGTGGTTTGTGCTATGTCTGATATGGGAAGGCTATAAGCAGAATTTACATAAAAAAAATCACCAGTATGAATCTCAGAGCCTGACTTATTGACAATGGAGCATCAAGGTGACTAATGCCTCTTCCTGTGAAATCCAGGAGGTTTATATCTGTCTCTTCACTCCATTAGCATAACCTAACTATCCACTGCCTCCATATCCCTACAGAAGAACAGAAACAGAGGATGAAAATCCATGTATCTCCTAAACTGCAATTCTTTAGCTAGCATGTGGAGTAAAACAAAAGCCACCAGATTATAATCAAGTCAGTGTGACATCCTTAGCCAGTGAAAATATATTAGAAAGTAACTGTTCAAGCAAACATACAATGGAGATTATGAATATTAGTCCTTTTTAAACAGCCGTGTATCCATATTGGGAAGGAACAAGGTAAGAAGAGGTGGCCGTGTGCATGATAAGGAAATGTCCACAATGCTGCATACACCGATGCTATCCCTTCCTCTTCCTGAGCCCTTTCAGGTCAGAAAAGGGGCACAGACGAAGTGGGAAAGATGCTGCTGGAACGGCTCATTAGCGAGGTTCACTCCCTAGCTCCGTCACTTCCTGGCTGCCCAGCGCTGCAGAGCCGCTGGTGTGCTGTCCACGGGGCTGCATGAAGGACAATCACTGCCCCCGGCGAGTCACTGAGATGGGGAGAGCCAGGAGGAAGTGGACAGACGTCCGCTCGCCCCTTCCCCCACCCTGGGAGCCCCCCACTTGCCTGCCACCCCTCCCCCACCCTTTTAATTCATTCATTCCTTCCCCCGCCAGCCCCGGGCGGATGGTGCCCGCCGCCGGGGGCTCTCTCCCCGCCACCCCCTCCCCGGCCGCAGCGCGGGGAGCCCGGTCCTTACCTTTGTGTAGAGCTCGGAGACTGCCATCGCGCTGCCGCCCTCGGCTCCCGTGCGCGGCTCGGCGGCCAGGCAGGCGCAGCCGCTCCCTGCCCCGCCCTGGCCGCCCGCACCGGCTGTGAGGCAGCGGGGGGATGCTCAGAGCGCCGGCCCGGCTCGGCTCGCCATGTTGTTAGTTACCTGTCATGCGGGGATGGGGCTCGGGCTGCTCCGCTCTGTGCATTGTGGGTATGAGGGATGGGACGGGAGCAGACAGCCCCGGCTCAGCCTCTGTCAGACGGGCCACTGCAGCCGCGGCTGCTGCTCGGTACGCCCTGCCTCCCGCCGGCTGCACAGGGGCGGGGGGCCACGCAGCGGCTGTAGGGGGAGAGGGCTGGAGGCTGAGAGAGAAGCCAGCTGCGGCAGAGGCGAGGGGGACCAGGTCCAGGGAGCAGCCAGACCTTCAAACTAAAGGATGAGCAGTGGAAACAAGGATTGGTCTTCATTTCATTTTTCTAATTCATTTTGTCCAGGTGGGGGTCGCCCCCTCCTCCTCCTTACAGGGGGGAATTGTCCCTGCCCACTGCGTCTAAAACGTGACCACTCTCTTAGGCTTGGTCTACACTTACCCCCCAAGTCGAAGTAAGGTACGCAAATTCAGCTACGTGAATAACGTAGCTGAAGTCGACATACCTTACTTCGAACTTACTGCGGTTCAGACGCGGTCCACACGCGGCAGGCAGGCTCCCCGTCGACTCCGCGGTACTTCTCTCGTTGAGCTGGAGTACCGCAGTCGACGGGGATCACTTCCTGGTTCGATTTATCGCGTCCAGACCAGACGCGATAAATCGAACTCGGAACTTCGATCCCCAGCCGCCGAACTAGCGCGGCAGTGTAGACCAGCCCTTAGATGTGTGTGTGCTCTCCTCTTCCCAGCCATCCATCAGCAAGGGTGGTGGGAGAAGAACCAGCTCCTCTGACTGCCTAACCACCAGGTTAGAAAGAGGGAGAGACTCCCTCAGTCCAGCCTCCCAATTTGGAGAGGCTAGATCTACACCACTACTACCTAGGGAGTGCCAATCTCTCACTGGTAGGGAGAGCCCTGTCTGGGGCAGCCAGCCCTTAGGTGGTGGTGGTGGCTAAAGGGAAGAACTTAGACCAAGGCACCAATCTGACCAGTCTCAGCCAGGGAGGGAGGGAGTGAGGGCAGGAAGACAATGTGGGGGGCTTGGCTGGGCCCCTCCAGGCAAGTGCATCTTGAGGGAGCCCAGCCGGGGCAGGCCCTGGCCTATTGCGCCCCTCCCAATGGGTTGGAGCGATTCCTGGCCCCAGGACCAGCCTTGGCTATACTGTTGGCTCAGCCCGGCAGTCACCTCCCAGCAGGCCGGTGAGGCAGGGTGTGGGGGGAGTGGGTCGGGCTGTGAGGGGGTGGGGAAGATGTGTGTGTTGGGGCACTAGGGAGTCTGGGTTGGGGGGGCTGTGGGCAGGGGTGGTGGTGTGCAGGGCACTGTGCATTTGTAGGTGGGTTGGGGGGCCACTGGGCATAGTGGGTCCAGGGGGGCCACTGGCCATAGGGAGTTGGGGAGTGTTGGGCTGGGGAGCTGTGTGGTGTGCTATGGGCCCACCCCCAAGAGGAAGGGGTATGCTGCCAGCACAGGGCCAGGCAGACCACCGTGCAGCTGGCAACTGCCAGTTTGTAAATAGTGCTCTTGTATTGGGCAAACCCCTATGCCATGCCCCATTGCCTCTAGCTGGCCCCTCACTCCAAGGCCTGACCTCCCCATCGCCCTGCTCCATTGCCTCCATGGGGGCCACAAACATGTTTGGTGCCAGGCCCATAAAAGGTTAATCCGGCCCTGCCTTGAAGGCAGACTAGGACATTGTACCTTGTTCCCTCACTTCTGGGAACTGCTCTGTAGCTTTTCTTCCTTACGCCACTCATGTAGTGAATGGGGACAAAGGGATAGATAATGCCCTGCCCCTTGCTTTTGGCAATCTCTGTTATAGGCCCAAATTCTTAAGAACCTGCATGTACCAAACCTAGGCAAACAAATCCCACCACATAGGCAGATCCAGATAGGGATATGCACATCTTTGAAAAACTGAGCATCTGTTAGATTGTAACAGGAAGAGAAGGCAAAAGATGGCCCCACATGGCCATCATAATATGGACTTGCATCTCTGGCTTCCACTGTGGAAGTCAAGAGAATCATCCCAGCAGCAGTGAAGCCTGTGCCCAGCTGCTGTTGCTTTGGCACTAGAGTCCACATTCAGGTTGAGTCTTGGGAGGGGAGCTGCAATGCAGTACACATACTTGCTTATGGCTTAATAAATAGTTGGAGTCTCTTCCAGTGTTGGTTATGGCAAAAGTTCTTTGGGAATAGAAATAAAACTATACACCTCCCAAGAACATTTTTCTTCCCTTTCCTTTGGAATGCACCACATTGTTCAAAATGGCCTGTTATTAAAACACACCCTCTCAGTGCTTTAACCACCACCTTAACGGCTCTGCAAACTTCAAACACTTTAATCTTTTAAATGGGACCTTTGGATGGGGTGGATAAGTGTTACACAGCTGTTCCTCATATCTGTTCTGTGGATAAACAGCAAATGTACTTTAGGACTGTCAAACACCATTCATAAGCAAAAAACCTTACAAGTTAGTGTTTTTTTCAGTCTAATTTTAAACTGTGATCATTGTCCTTTCCCTCCCAGCATTTCCTATGGGCCTCTTCTTGCCTGTTTATCCTATATTCTTCACTGAATTTCTCACTCCCTTGGAGCTTGTCTCTTCCTGACCACAGGACATGCCCTCTGGTGTTTCCTATTCTCTGTCACCATTGCCCATATACTTGTCTCCTCTCTGATACTTTCATCTTTCACTCCATCTGGGTACATGAACTTACTGATTTTTAAAAGGGACCTGAATTTGCTCTCTATGCACTTGCTAAGATGTAACATCTATCTTATTTCTTTGGGATGATGCGTACGTTAAATGCAATCCAAAAAACCTACTTTGAGGAGCTTGATTGAACAGTGGATTATTGTACAAGCCATTTACAGTTGGAGCCCAGGATCCAATTGTAATTACAATTACAAATAAAAAATAAATATTTGCCTGTACCCAAAACACACTAGTGGCTGGGCACAATTGCATCTGAACTAGAATTTCAAGACTGTTAAGACAAGGATTTAGAGGCAGTGACAGTTTTTAGGAACAGCCTGCCTGTAATATACCTAGATGCAGTCAGTCACTTGACAGAGTTCTCATATACACTATTTTATACTGGATTTCAAATCAAAGCAGAGGAAATGTTGCGAGTTAGCTTTCCAGACATTTAGAATAAGAAAATACAGTAGTAGAAGATTTTTTCCCAAAAGATTAAAAAAAGCATTACCCAGTCATTTAAAGCTCTCTTGCGTATACCCATTTTGTGATCTGGTTCAACTGTTGAAGAGAAATTCTGCTCCACCTTCAGCCCCATATAATTCCATTTGAGCCTTTAGGCCCACATCCTGGTGTGCAGGGTAGCTTTCTTTGTGCCACACTATAACTTTTGGATTCTTTAGCTGGCCACAGGACCACCCCAGGATAGGGGGAGTCATCCTGTGGCACTGAATCAATACATGCTGCTGGCATAGGTGGCATGGAATGGCTTGTCTGCCCCTGCTGATGGACTGGGCCCTTGGAGTCAATGGCAGTTTAACTTAGAACAGCTTCTCCAAGGCTATGTCTACACTACAGACCTTACAGTGGCACAGCTGTACCAGTGCAGCTGTAAGATTTCCTGTGTCACTGCTCTATGCTGACAGAAGAGAGCCCTCCCATTGGCATAATTAAACCACCCCCAACGAGCAGCAGTAGCTATATCAGCGGGAGAGCGTCTTTGTTTCTTCTGCAGAGTTGACTATGTGTAAGTCCAGGCCCATAATGTAACATAGCCTATGTCCACCCCAGCACTTTTATCGGTGAAAAGCATGTCGGCCAGGGGGATGTTTTTTCACACCCCGACCAACAGAAGTTTTACCAACAAAAGTGCTGGTATGGACATAGCCTACGCTGCATTATGGGCCTGGACTTACACATAGTCAACTCTGCAGAAGAAACAAAAAGCAGAGGCTACATTCCTCCCTCTCCTCCCCCATATATTAAACTCATCATGCAGTCCAAGAATCTGTGCTACGGTCTCTAGTTGTGGGAAATAAGCAAGGACAGCTTCCTTCTCACCCAGTACCCACATGCCAGTCATAGTTAAAAGCCTCTCTGACTACTAACTAGAGGAGGTTTTACCATAGGATACAGGCAGTAAGAGACATGCTTTTATACATCTCACCTCTTGAGACAGAGGTAGCCATAGGATGTGTTGAGCAGCCTGTACTAAGTTTGGGGTTTCTGTGAGCTTTCAGAAAATAGACGTTTAAGCTGCATGGGGGAATATACCAGCCTTTTGAAAACTTGTCTTGACTCTGCTATGTATGTTCTAATAGGAATTTATCACATCTTTAGATTGGTTTCTATTTAAGCAAAAGTGCTAATAGCCAACAGCACCCCTTTGAGCTTATAGAAATACTATCCTAGAGCTCTGACCAAATCTTCACAAAAGTTCACAGCCCCCATTTAGGCACCTAAATGACATGGCTAGATATTCAAGAATGCTTAGTAACTGGAAGCTACTACATTCTGAAGTGTTGGACATTATTTTCTTAATGTTAGTTTCTCTCAAATCCAGCTAAACACAACTATAATGGGAATTCTCTTTCACAATAAAGAAGGGCTTGTATTCTAGACAGGCTGGACTTCTGCCTCCATATCATCCAACTAACTCCACGTCACCAGGATTCTCCACTGGTAGTTATTTCACAAACAGAGGAACATCTTAGCAGCATGCAGTAGAAAGGCACAGTAATGTCTACAGCTGAACAATTACACAGGAGCAAAGTTTTAAAAGAAACACTAGTTACTTTTAGGTTACATAAAGATTTAAAACAGGCCACTAAAGTTTGTTTTTATTTGTAGGTTTTTTAAATACATCGCTATTTCATAACTTAGCAAATAAAAACATCCACAAGACTCAAG